CCCCCTCTGGCCTCGCAGGAGGCTCAGAAAGCTTCTCGGACGGCCGGTGGCCTTGCGAGCTGGCTTTCTGAAGCGGCCCGCCCCCTCTGCCTTCCCCTCTGGGGGCGCCGCCGAGCCTTGAGAGGGCGCCGAGGGGGAGGGGCCCTAGGCGTCGAGCGCGTCCACTTTTGTCTTCAGGGTGTCGCCGAAGAGGCGGTTCCATCGCAGCCGTGCCTCGGCTCGTGCACCGAGATGGGTAGGAAGAGGGCGACGGGGATCGACAGCGGGGTGGCTCAGGAAGCCCTAGACGGCCTGGCAGGCCAGGGGGTAGGGGGGAGAGAGAAAGAGGAGGAAGAGGGAGGGGCAGGAGGGGGAAAAGAAGGAGACATAGAAGGAGGAGGAGGAGGAGGAGGAGGAGGAGGTGTAAGAGAAGGAAAAAGAGAAGGTCGAAAGTAAGGTCCCAAGCCCCAGAAGCCGTTTCAAACAGGTCGGGCGACCTTTTGACGATCCTGGCTGATTCGCCTTGTCAATCTGCCCCCCCCTGGAGAGTGTGCTACAATGACCCCGCTCACCGCCCACACGGACCCACAGACCCCGTTGCCCCGTGAGCAGGAGGAGAGGGTGGCCCCCGACTCTGGCGCTGGTGGTGGCAGTTCGGCCACACGAGAAGGCCTGGCATTGCCACCAGCCCCGAGGATCGGGGCTCCCCCTCGCCTGTAAGAAGGCGGCCTATGTGACATGTGCTCTCGGCGCCCTCCAACTCCGGGGCCACCGCGCTGGAGGGGCGGAGCCAGCTTCTGGGTCAACTTCTGTGCAGCGTCAGGACCAAGCTCCTTGCTCGTGCCACATTCTAGGCCTCCGGTCTGGTGGAGAGAGAGATCGTCTGCACAAATCCACATCACCTCCTCCCTCCCCCTTTCTCCTATGACTGTTCCCCCCCTTCTGGGAGGGGGGCGGATCGAGGTGGACCTGTACCGTCGCCCCAACCGACCCACCCATCCAAAACATCCCTCCTCTTCTTTTTCCTCATCCCTCCCTCCCTCCCTCCCTCTTTTCCTCCTCCCCTCTCCCTCATCCTCCTCCAACCCTCAATACCGTACCGTTGACTAGGGGCGCTGTTGAAGTCCCAGGAATGGTTTTCCGGCACGGTGCAGGATCGTCAGGGCAAGACAGTAAGGTTGAGTCGCGGCGTCAAGGAGTGGTCTTTTGGCAAGACTGAGGATTCTCAGACGGTCGTCTTCCACACTTCGAGCAGTGAAAAACATGATTGTGGGGACCCGTGAAGAGGGAACTATGGAGGAGGGAGGGTGTGTTGCAGCATCGTTGGTGCGTCTTGGGTTTCTGCTGGTCCTCCTCCTCCTCCACCTCCTCCTTCTCCTGCTCCTTCCATCCGTCCTCCTGATCCCATCTCCCCGCCTCCACCCTCCATCCTCCCCAACCACATCCACCTCTCAGGTTGCTCCTCATGGGCGAGAAAGCGTCGAGCGGGCTAAGCCCAGCGCAAATTCGGGCACCCCGATGCTGTACACGTAGGTCGCCAGCATAACTAACAGCGTGCCTCGAACATGCGCTCCCACTCCACATACCTCCTTCTACTCCTGAAATTACCCTTCATCCCCTTCCCCCCCCCGTCTCCATCCCCGCATGCATCATTCGCTCACAGCTGTTACGAAACATCGTGCGCACCCTTCCTCCTCCGTTCCACCACCACTCCTCCATACCCTCATCGTCCCTCGCCTCCTACTCCCTGCTCATCCTCATCGTCCCCCCTGGTCACACAAATACCCTCCTCCCTTCATATTACTATGATGGTTCCGTCTCCTCCCGCCAAACTCCCCTTCCACCTTCCCGCAACGTCCCCGCTATCCGTCCCTGGTATCCGTCCCCCCGCCTCATTCACATCCTCTCTTTCCTCGTGTTCTTCCTCCTCCTCCTCCTCCTCCTATTCATCCTCCACATCCTCCTCCTCCTCTGAAACTCCTCTCTCCTCATCATCCGGGTCATCCCCTTCCCCTTCGAATCTCCACACACTCCCCGCGTCGTGTGTCATACATCCCGTGCTCATCGCCCCCATCTGCATCATCCCTCCCCAATTCGCCGTCATCCCACATCATCCCTCATCCCTCATCCTACCTGTAGCTCTCCTCGCCCGTTTCCTCCCCATCCTCATGATCATCCCCCTCATCGTCATTAATCATCGGCAGCAGCACCAGCAGGACAGGTGTCAGCACCAGCACCAGCATCATCAACGTCGTCATCATCGCCATCGTCACCACCATCATCGTCGTCATCATCATCAGCATCATCATCAGCAGCAACAGTAGCATCATTATCGTCATCGGCCTCTTCCTCCTACTACTGAGACTAATCCTCTTCCTCATCATCTTCATCCTCGTCATCCTCATCCCTAGTTCTCGACTGCTACGCCATGTGACAACTATCACCCCCTTTCCCTTGATACTGTGTTGTGCGGGGGCGCTCCCTCCCGCATGCTGTTCACCCCAGACTGTACTTCGCACGAGGGCTCGTCCTATGTGCTTTTTAATGTGGACCGTCCCAGGCCCTTCACACATGGTGATCCTGCTGCAGCGTTGGTACAGTTTTGCATTTCCATGGCGCTTCCGTCCAACGGAACGACAATTTTGCAGTAGCGTTCGTCGTCGTCGCATTCGCACCCCGCCCGTTCGTCCTGCATTCGTCCTGCTGCAACCGCAATGCTGCTCCTCTCTTTTTCCGCTGCTGCTCATTTTCCGTCGTCGCTGTGCCACAACACGTTTGCTTTGTCGTCCAGATGGATGGCTGGTTATGACGCAAACCCTGTACCCCGCAGGGTAATGTTCCTGCCATACATTCAGATAACACCATGCAGAAGAAGTTCCCTGCTGAATGAGCCACTACTTACTCCGTAAGAACACACGCCAGCATTGCCGAACCATCTACGCCCAGGGACCCTCAGTAGTAAACTCGGAAGTTTCGGCCTAACCCCGCAACTAGAAGCGCTCCAAGAGACGACGAATGCTGAGGCAAAACCGTCGGCAAAATGCACCACCCGACTGCCCCCCCATCCCATCCCATCATGCCTCACTTCTTCCCTCCCTGGATCCCTCCCTCCTCCTTCCTACGTGCCTACATGCCCACCCGTCCTCTCCCCCCTCCCCCTCCTCCTCCTTCCCCCCCTTGGGGGCGCGCGCGCGCGCGCGGCCGAAGACGAAGAACTTGTCTGGCACGAATTCTCTCAGCAACACCGCGGAGAGCATGCAGCTGATGCACTGGCAGCGGGGAACGCGACGCGCGCGCGGCCCTCCGGGGCCCACTGGCAAGGCAGCCACGATCGCACCGCCACGCCGATGCATCGGCGACGCCAAGGGAAGGGGAGAAGGGACCCCTCCCTTGCCAGCGAAGAAGGGGTAAGGGGGAGGGGGAGGAGGAGGAGGAGGAGGAGGAGGAGGAGGAGGAGGAGGAGGAGGTGGAGGAAGAGGAGGAGTAGGAGGAGGTGGAGGAGGTGGAGGAGGAGGAGGAGGTGGAGAAGATCGTCTCGTCGTCGGGTGGGAGAGTCGAGACAGCGGCGGCCCCTCTGCTGCGATTCGTCGTTTTGAGGCCTCCCCGAGGCTGCTCGTCGCAGCGGCTGGATCCGCCTCGGCAGACAAGTCAGCATGGAACCCGAACGGGGTCTGGGGACCCCTGTTGAGCGGATGTGGGCCGAGCGAGAGCGCCGCCGCTGGCGTCGGGGGGCCAGGGCGGCCCGATACCAGTTTGCCAGACGGAGGCGGACAGGAGGAGCAGGAGGATAACGACGCCTGAGTGAGGGGAGGGCGGAGGCTGTGGCTGAGGCCGCGGAACTGACAGAGAGTTGCAGCAGGGGGGAGGAGGGCAAGGAGACGAGGAGAGAAGGGCGATACAGGGGGGCGGAAGAAGCCATGGCAGCACGGGACCTCGCGCGCCTGGCGGCGCGCGAAAGCGGAGCGGCGCGAGAGGGGGGCAGCCTTGTAAGAAGGCGGGGAAGAGCCTGAGAGGGCGGTCAGCTTCTGAGCAGCCCTCCCTGCAAAACTGGAGCGGGACAAGGCCAGGTGGAGCGGCACCAGGCCAGAGCCCCCGCGGATGCGCCAGCGCCGAGGCGCTGAGCCTGAGCCTCCCAGGAGCTGCCTGCCACCCAGCGGTGCGCGGGGCGGGGAGCGCGGGGCTCTAAGCGCGGCCGGGGGGGGCGATGGACAGCGCGTTGCCGAAGCACTTCAGCAGGTTGTCCGCGTACTTCAGCACCGCCGCCACCACGAGGCCGCCGACCGCCTGCCCGGGGCGGGCGGCGGGCCGAGGAGGCCGCAGCCGCCCCTCGGGGGCGAGCGCCAAGGAGACCTCCCCCGCTCCTCCCTCGAGGCGGGCGGGTGGGGGCAGCAGGGAGGCGGGAGGAGCTGTGCTGTGCGGAGGAGGCGGGCGGGTCGGGACAGCAAGGAGGCGGGCGGGTGGGGGAAGCCAGGTGAGGATATAGTCCCCGAACAGTGCTTGCGCTTGGGGGGTCGTTCTCACTTCTCTGCCAGGGGACTGGGCCCGTCTGCGGTGCCGGCGGCCCCGATCCTACACCACACAGCTCACACCACGTAGACTGTACCACATAGCTCACGCGACATGGTTCACACCACATAGCTCGCACCACATACCTTACACCACTTCTGTTACACCACGTATGTTCCACAACAAAAGGTGCACCGCATAGCTTGCACCACAGAGCATACACCACAAAGTTTGCACCACACAGCTTGCACCACGCAGATTGTACCATCTAGCTTGCACCACATAGCTCAAACCACATAGCTTGCTCCACGTAACATAGCTTACTCCTCATAGCTTGCACCACACAGCTTGCACCAAACAGCTTGCACCACGCGGAGTGCACCACGTAGATTGCACATCATAGCTTGCATCGCATAACTTGCACCACATAGCTTACACCGCATGGTTGCACCAGAAAGCTTACACATCCAGAGTGCAATAACTCACTGTGTGGCGGGTCCACGCTGGCGAACATAGGCAACCACATGCGAACCCTAATTACCAGTGGAGGTCAGATGTTTGAAGCGACTGCCAGGGTTCAGAGTTCGAAGCATGCCTACGGATGTCTGCAACCAGGAGATCCCCAGCAAAGGTGTCCGATACTTCAGCGTCGGTTGGACCCGCGGGGGGTAGGGTTTGCAGTCCCACCAGCGCGTCAGGCCGTAGGTGTTTAGGGCGCTTCCTCTTCCAACCCCTTTCGTCCCCTTCGGGGAAAAGCTCCCCTCTGCTCCCTATGATATTAACCACCCCCATCCCCCACCCGACAAACCAAGAGCAATGCCAACAGCACCCTGCCATCCATATCAAGAAACAATCGGCAATACATGTTGCGGCGAAATCTGGATCATGTTCGGGCGCCCGGCGGGACAAGGGGGGCACCCTACGTGTGCCAGAAACAAATGCAAAGCGCACTGCGGCAAAATCCACTGGCCCTCTTGTGGGGCCACCAGGCTGTAGGGTTAGGTTGGTGCTCCCTGCGCCAGTTGCGGTTTCAAGTCTCCAATGTTAGAGTCCTGCCGTCTGCGTCCTACTGTGAATTGTTACTGTCCGCGCGGGGTGGTGAGCCGAAAGCCACCCTGGCGACCCTCCCCCAAGAGTGTTCTCAGAATTTCCTGAGGGTCGTGGGACGAATCAAGACACACGCGATGTGCACATCCTAAGCCGAAAAAGCCTGGCAAATTGTAGCAGACTCGCGCTGCGGAGGCCAAACTCCTTACAAATTGCACGATATTCGCGCTGCCGAAACAATAACCCTTCGCAAATTGCACCATCTGCGCGCCGCCGAGGCCACAATCCTTCGCAAATTGCGCCATGCTCGCGCTGCCGAGGCCGCAATCCCTTTGTGGATTGCGCCACGCACGCGCTGTCGAAGCCACAATCCCTTGCAAATTGCACCACGCTCGCGCTGCCGAGGCCACAATCCCTTGCAAATTGTGCCGCACTCGCGCTGCCGAGGCCGCAATCCCTTGCAAATTGTGCCGCACTCGCGCTGCCGAGGCCACACTCCCTTGCAAATTGCGTAATGTTCGCGCTGCCGAGGCAACAATCCCTCGCACATTGTGCCATACTCGCGCTGCCGAGGCCGCAATCCCTCGCAATCTGCGCCATACTCGCGCTGCCGAAGCCATACTCCCTTGCAAATTGTACCATGTTCACGCTGCCGAGGCCACAATTCCTTGCACATTGCACCATATTCACGCTGCCGAGGCTATAATGCTTTCCAACTTGCGCTGTATTCGCGCTGCCGAAGCAACAGTCCCCTGTAACTTGCGCAAAACCGTGTTTCCGACGCCACGACCCCTTCGTAAATTACAAAATATTTGCGCTCTCGAGCCCACAATCCCGAGTACATTGCACCATATTCGCGTCCCCGAAGCCACGATCGCTTGTAACTTATACAATATTCGCGTCTCCGAGGTCACGAGCCCTTCAAAATTATGCAATGGTCGCGTCTCCGGGGCCACGATCGCTTGTAAATTAAGCCATGCTCGCGTTCCCGAAACCACGTTCCCTTGTAACATACGCCGAGGAGCCCCAAGACCGTCCAAGCTGCGCGGCTTTGCCGGACACAGCCTCAGGCAACCCACAGTCGTTCGAAAGGGGCAGCCGATCCGCAGCGTGAGGGAAAATCCGCAAAAGGCAACACAGAAGTCAACGTTTCATCCGACTATCAATGTGTCTAGAAGATTATCAATCCTCGCACGAGGCGTCGATCTTGCTTCACGACGGCGCCCAGGCATGGCACGCGTGGCGCACCTCGAGAGCGTCGCGCACCTGCCTGGCCTTTGCATTTGTTTCCGATGCATGTCGGTGGCGGCCCCTGTCCATGCTGAAACTCGGGTGTTACTTTGTGTTGGGAGTGAGGATGGGAGTGAGCGAGACGGCTTGAGGCTTATGGGTAGCTTAACCTCTCCCCCTGACCCCGCCTCGTGGGTCTTGGGGGAAGCAGTTATAGCATCCAAGGCGGCCCAAGATGGCCCCAAGAGGGCCTCAGCGAGCCCAAGCTGGCCTCAAAGATAGCTCAAGATAGCGCAAGACCGCTTAACATGGTTTCTTACATACTCCCCGAGGTCCCAATATCGTTCCAAGACGGGTCCAAATGGCGATGGGGGCTCCCCAGGACTGCCCGAAGAGGCCGAATTTCATCCAAAACCTAACGACATTCAGTGGTGTTGGCCTTCTCGCCCAATCGTTTCATATGGCCTTCCGAAGCCTAAAGATGGCTCCAAGTGGGCCCAAGAGAGACCCAAGAGGGGCCCAAAAAGGCTCCAAGACGGTCTCAAGAGCGCCCAAAAGCGTCCAAAGAACGGCCCAAGAGGCGATGTTAGGGGCTTTCGAGGGGCAGTGCCAAGAAGAGGCGCGCGTGCCAAGGATCCTACAATCACGGATGTGGGGCACTGGGGGATGGAGGTGGCGCCAACCTGTGGTAGTTTCGGGAAAACGCGCGAGTGCTGCGGCGCGCTGAGCTAAGGCGTGAAGAACTTGTGATGTCACTGTGAGCTTGTGGCGTCTCTATGACTCTTCGAGGCCATGGTGCTAGTGGGCGCCTCTGGGGCTAATTGGGGGTCTTGTGTGGGCCCATCTGGGGCTGTCCTTGAGGCAATATTGAACTGTCCTGTGGGCTTTTTGACCCATCGTGGGGGCTCGGGGGGGGCAAGGGCGCGGACGGAACGGGGGGGGCACGGTCGGTCGGTCAGAATCAGCAGACGGGGGGGCCACGGAGCGGAAGGGGCGGGGCACGGGGGTGGCCAGGGAGAGGGGAGGGGGGGCACGGTCGGTCGGCGGGGGCCACGGGGCGGAAAGGGGGGGCACGGTCGGTCGGTCGGTCGGAATAAGCAGACGGGGGCCACGGGGCGGAGGGGAGGGGCGCGGTCGGTCGGGTCGGTCGGTCGGAATGAGCAGACGAAGGCCACGGGGCGGAGGGGCGCGGTGGGGAACAGGGGGCAGGGCATGAATGGGCAAGGGACGGTCAGTCGGTCGGTCGGAATAGGCAGATGAAAGCCACGGGGCGGACGGGGGGAGGGGGCACGGTCGGTCGGCCGGTCGGAATGAGCTGACGGTGGCCGCGGGGCGGACGGGGGGAGGGCACGTTCGGTCGGCCGGTCGGAATAAACAGACGGGGACCACGGGGCGGCGGGGGGGGGCACGGTCGGTCGGTCGAATAAACATACGGGGGGGGGGCGGAGCGGGGGGCGGGAGGGCATGGGGGGGGCACGGTCGGTCGTTCGGAATAATAAGAAGGGGCCGCTGGGCGGAAAGGGGGGGGCGCGGTCAGACGGGGGCCACGGGGCGGAGTGGAGGGGCACGGTCGGTCGGTCGGTCGGAACAAGCAGACGGGGGCCACGGGAAGGAGGGGTGCGGGGGGGAGCAAGGAGACGGGAAGGCACGGCCGGGCAGGGGGGGGACACGGTCGGTCGGTTTCGGTCGGAATCAGCAAACGGGGGCCACGGGGCGGAGGGGCGGAGCACGGTCGGTCGGTCGGTCGGAATTAGCAGACGGGGGCCACGGGGCGGGGGGGGGGGGCACGGTTGGTCGGTCGGTCGGAATAAGCAGACAGGGGCCACGGGTGGGCAAGGCTAAGGAAAGCCCCCGTCTTCTTAGACCGATGTCCCTTCAGATGGTCCCAGGAAGGCTTCCAAGGCTGCCTAGAGATCCCCAAGGAGGCCGCAATAAACCCCTACGGCCCTACGAGGACACCATGGTCCCCATGACGCCTCCAGAAGCCCCAAGACACCCCGAGAGGTCCCCAAGACGCCCTTAGAGGCCACCAAGAGCCCCCCAGGAGTCAACCCACGCGACTCTGAGAGGCACCAAAGAGGCCTATAGTTCACTGAGGCGCCCCAAGGTATCCAAATGATGCCACGCTCCCCCGACCAGGGCAGCTCCCGTAGGCATCGTGCCTAGATGGGCTGGTTGGCATATATTTTTTTGGGCCGCGGGCGGACGCGGAAACGCTGTCGCCGAAGGAGAGGTCCGGGCCACGGGCCTGCCAAATTGGCCACGCGCAAGCCTAAAAGCACAGCGGCCGAGCCCGCATTCAGAAGTAGCCGCCGGTGGGGCCGCGGGCTGAAGGGGAGCTGGCTGAGCTGACTGCAAACGGCTAGGTCAGCAGATGCACCATGCGAGCGAATGGCTCCAAAACGCCAGAGTATAATTAGGTCCTGCACGCCAGAAGAACATGATCGGCTCTGTATCTGCAAACCACGCATCAACCTAGCGGAGCGCATCCACCGCCGGGCCAACCCAGTGGGGCTGGCTGGCATACGCGAAGCGGTAATAATTCACAGCAGAAGGCAATGGCTCCGAACAACCAAACTATGTTTTTCTGGAGCGTGGAAGGGCACCGCGAGGCATCCAGGGACCTTTTGGAGCCCCAGGGGGGGGGCCAGCCGGAGCCTCCGCGGCGGGGCCCTCCCGAAGCCTCGAGGTCCAGACATCCGATGCCCTGACTTCATTCAATGCACGCGGACCCCAGAAGGGCCCCCCCAGGAGCCCAAAGTTACACCACTGACCTGTCGTCGTGCTGTCCTTCACGACGCGAGGGACCTGGGCGGGATGCCCTCGCCTCCCGTCTCGCCTCTGGGATCGCGATGGCCCGGCGAGGGCCCCGAGCTAATAAGGCACATGCGGCAGGGCCCCCCCCAGCGAGGCGGAGATGTATCAATCGGTGATTCAGAGATGAGGTCCTGAGAGATGGGGTCCTCAAGATGACGTGCCTCAAACAACGTAAATCCACCCTTGGATCCCGTCCTATCCCAAGGACCCCACCCCTCAGGACTCCTTTTTTTTTACCACCGAATCAATGCCCACCGCCTGGCGAGCCGAATCAATGACCACCGAATCAATGCCCACCGAATCAATGGCGATGGACATGGGCACGTGATGGCTCCCCGGGGCAGGCCGAACAGTACACGGTCGGACATTTCGATGGCGTGCCGCCGCGGCGGTCCCGGGGCCCGGCCACGCGCTATCCCTGGAGAGCAGGTAGCGTGCCGCTCCGCGACGCGGGACGGGAAGCTCGGAAAAGCTCGGGACAGGGACCGGGAAGTCGATAGTGCGTCGCGCCGAGGCGGGGTGGGCCAGAACTGGCGGAGCGACACGCTATTCCGAAGGTCCCGACCAGATGTATCCGGATCTACCGCCTGCAAAGGTCCAGGAAGATTGGCCCCCCACGGTGGACGTGGATAGATCCCTGTCGCGGAGCCAGGCAAGCCCGACGCCTGCAGCAGAATGACGCCCCACACCAGCCTGTTGTAGCCCTGCAAGAAGCCGCCTTCCCGGATCTTGGCGCCGTCCTCGGCGCGGGCCGACGGCCGCCGCGCGGGGGCGAGGAGGGGGGGCGGCAGGGAAGGGGAGGAGGAAGGTAGGATAAAAGAGGAAGGAGGGAGGAGGCAGGAAAGGAGGGGGAGGTGGGGAGGGAGGAGGGGAGGTAAGGACGACATGTTGGGTGTCTCCACCTGTCTGGAGTTTCCTTCAGCTCTAGATGGCCCTAGAGAACTCCGAGATGGCCCCAAGACAGCCCAAGAAGTTCCCCAAATGGCTAAACATTCCTCCTCCTCACCATCCTCATCATCAGCATCATCATCATCATCATCATCAGCATCATCATCAGCAGCATCATCACCAGTATTACTTTCATCATTTTCCCAACGACATTGGAGCACATGAAGGATATGATTGTGCATGTCAAACTTGCAGAAGGGAAGGCTCGTCGCAGAGAGCTGTGACTCTCGAGCGCTGCTCGGTGCATGGTGCCTGCGAGGGTGCTTACACAGCGAGGCCTGGCGGCATGCGGGGGCAACTTGATCATGAAATTCAGCTGCTACGAAATCTTCGGCCTCGTATTCGTCATAGAGTGGCTCAGGGTCGGCAAGCTGCTCTGGCAGCTGCTCGCCTTCCTCCGAGCTGGGCGAAGCAACACGGGCAGGGGCGGCACGCGTGGCTGGCAGAAATCCACCTCTGACAAATATGATCGGTGTCTCGTTCACTCGCTGATCGTCTCGAGCCAATGGCCCACTTCGTCCTCGAGCCAGCCTGCTGGCGCCACCCCTTTTGTGGTGATCGCTACGTCCTTGGCCCGGAAGGCATTCACAATCAGAGGCTTTCTTGACGCCTCTTGGAGGCTGTTTTTGAGCCCTGGTCAGCTAGAAACTGTCGGAAGCTATCTTGGGCCATGCCAAATTATCTTGGGCCATGTTGGCGCTGCCTTGAAGCCTCTGGGAGGTCTGTCGAGGGCTACCTTGGGCCATGCTCGGCCTCCTGGGACCATCTGGGGGGTAGGAAGAAGATGATGAGGACGACGACGACGATGACGACGAGAAAAAGGAGGAAGAGGAGGAACAATAGAAAAGGAGGAGAGGGATAAACAAATAATGAAGAAGAAACAAAACAATGATAATAAGAAGAGGAGGAAGATGAGGAATGCAGCACGAAGAAGATGAGGAGGAAGAAGAGTAGGAAGAAGACGAGGGAGGAAGCAGGAAAGGAGGAAGGAACGGACGATGACAAAGAGGATGAGAAGTCGGGCTGTGGATATACGTTGATGTGACAGGTGTGTGGGTATGTGCTGTGAGTATATGTTGATGTGTTTGTAATAGGTTGTTGTTTTGAGGTGAAATGCGATGTCTGGAGTTGTCGTTGCAAGGCAACGCAGCTCCCAGATGCGGAAAAGCAAATTAAGACAACATCCAACCAAGGTGCTCATGTTGACTCCCAGAGAGAACGTGTACTCTTAAGATATTCGATTGATGCCTGAATCCTAGCATTGTCGGTTTAAGATGGCTGGTTGTAATTGGTACCAATTGGTCTTTTGACCGGATGAAGATTGGCGAGGTCGATTGTAAGTTGTACCAGACAGTTGGGATTGGTCAGACATGCGGTCGTGACTCCCCCCACGGGCGGTCCCCCCTGTGGAGAAGGAGGGCAGGGGGGGGGTCTCTCTGTCGGCCGGGAAGCTCAAGACCTCTGCCCCAAGGCCTTCCCATTAGTGTTTTCCATTCTCGCTCTGTTCTAACAGTCTCTCGTTTTGCCTTCGTTCCGCCTCTGCTGCAAAACGATATCGAAACCAAAACGGTCCATGAAATCACCCAAACACATGTTAGCTGGCACCCTGTGGTGCAACGCCCCCTTCCCCAACCCTACACATTCTCTGGGAAACACCCTTGCGTGTCCAAGAGCGCTGAAGGCACCCCGGGAAACATCCGAAGACCTCCGATGACAGCCAAGAAACTCTGTTTCACTCATCCCAGTGGGCGCTCGGCCGTTGGAAGAGGATGGGGAGAAACCGAGCAAGAAAACGAGAACTCATGGAGTCATGATGCAGGGCTGCGGTCTGGCAAGATGAACCTGGTGCGGCCGCAACTGGGGGAACGCGCCTCCTAAGGGGCATTCCTTGGCACTGCTTGGCATTGCTTGGCGCTGCATTGATGTGTTTCGCATTGTGTTGCTCGACGTTGATTGGCGTTGCTCTACATTGCTTGGCATTGGGCGTGGCTTGGCGTTGCTCGGAGTTGCTAGGAATTGCTTGGCGTTGCTTCCTTTGCATTCGTTTGCCGGGCATTGCTTGGCATTGCCTTGCATTGCATTGAGCTGCTTACCTTGGTTCGACATGTTTTGGCATCCCTTGGCGCCGCGTGTTTTCCATTGGCGCGCCTGGCATGGCTTGACGCTGCGTGGCGTTACATGGTGTCGTTTGGCATTGCTTGGCGTGGTTTGCCATTGCTTGGTGTTGCTTGGCACTGCTAAGCAATACTTGGCGTCGCTTGGCGTTGCTTTGGCATTGCGTTGGCATTGCCCGGAGAAGCGACCCAGCAACCCGAAACATGCGGTGAGGAACCTAGACCCAGCAGCCAGAGGAAACCAAAGCAATGGGGAAGCATGACCAAGCAATCCGAGGAAGGCCTCTTCAAAAGCAGCGAGGAAACAATTCCGAGTAATCCGAGGAAGGCCTCTCCAAAAACACGGAGGAAAGATGACCAAAGCAACTCGTGAAAATGCGGCCGGCGCATGCTTCGCACCAGTGGGTTCTTCAGAGACGACCACGCAGACAGGCCTACTTTGGGACTGCGCGTGTGGATTTAGAGCTCTAAGCGACGTTGCAAAGTGAACGCCGCTCATCCCCCGCACACACGCCCAGGAACTGGAGGTGGAGACCGAGGAGGACATGGATGGAGAAGGACAAAGATGAGGAGGAGAAGGAGGATGGATGGATGGATGGATGGATGGATGGATGGATGGATGGATGGATGGATGGATGGATGGATGGACCATCATCAAAGAGGCCCTGGCGGCCGTCTGCAAGCAGACGACCGCCAGGGCGCCAAATGCCGAATGGTTCCCGCGCCGCCGCAAGCGCGCCGCGCAGACGCCGTGGCGACGAGGGAAGGACCCCGAAGAAGCCCAGACAGGCATCCGACCGACCCTGGCCCACCCCGAGGGCAAGCCAGGGGGAAGGAAGCCACCCCCGCGGGGACAAAACAGGCACCCCCGGCAGCCGCCCGCGGCCGCCCACCCACCCCAACGGGGGAACGCGGCATCCCCCCCAAACCGCGCCGAGGGGCGTCGCACCAGGATCACGAGGCGGACCCAGCAGGAGAGAGCGAGTGCCCGCGCCCAGCTCATCCAACGCAGTCGAAGCACACGGTGTAGCGGCACCGCTCGCACCATTTCGCGGCCGTCCGCTTGGGGAACGTTCTCGAGCACCACTCGCAGACGAAGGCGAACAGCGGGAGGCGACGGAGAACGAGCTCATGCCGAGCGGGGCAGAATTAGAGGAACACGCCGGGCGAGCCGTCCTCCGACCCACCGCCAGGGGTACGAACAGCGAGACGCCGTCGCCCTCGCCCTCCTTGCCGCCCCGCTGTGCGCCAGCCAGCGGCGCCTGCGAGACCTCCCTTGCACCGCGAAGGCACATGACCCTCGGCCGACTCCAAATTTCGAGCACAAGGGTAGCCATGCGCCACAGCAACGCCAAAGCTCCGCAACTGCTCAGGATGCGCCACGCGGCAGGCAACTACCTCCACGTCCACATCCTCGCTCTCGCCATGCATGGATTCTGTCACGCACAGCGTCGGCACAGCGTCTGTCTGCACCTCTGCATCTGCATTCGGCGCCTGCACGACCTGTGACCCCGCAAACTCCTCGGAAACCTTGTCGACGCACGCCTCATCCCGCACCGCGGCAGAAAAGTCCAGCACAACGCCCTCGGCCGACAACTCCGAGTCCACGCCAACGCTTTCGCACATCGCGGTGACACGCACGGGCTCCGTCACGCTCGGCATCTGCACGGCGGGGGGCAGGATCGGCCGAACATCGTAGTACCGCACTTGCAGCGCACGCCCACTGCGCGGCAAGCACCTGGCGGCACGAACGGCTTGGCCTGAGCCCGCATGCCACCAGCCGCCCCAGGCAGTGCCCAGCAGCAACCCAGGACAGCGCCGCCGAGGACGCCGCCGTGAACCCGCCAGGCGGCACACGGCGCGCATGCCAAGCCGTGTTCTGCCTGAGCCGCATCACGCCCGGAACGCGATCCCCTGCAGCGAGCCTTTGCAGAGCCAGCCTCGACACGCGCTCGCGGTCCACCCACCAGCGGACGCAACGCTGCTTCCAGAGCCGCGCGACCACGCCACCGTGCAGCATGCCTCGCCGGGGAAGCATCGAGGGAGTCTTTCTCCATAACCCTGGGAACGCTGGGCCGCCACATCGGCGGGCAGCTCCCCACAGCCATCCAAGACGCGCCCGCCGCCGCTGCCACTGAGCCGCCGACCATGGGCGAAAAAGCTGCGGAGAAAGCTGGGAAAACGGCATGAGCCAAAATGGCTATGGAGAGAGGAGGAGGAGGAGGAGGAGGAGGAGGAGGAGGAGGAGGAGGAGGAGGAGGACTAGGAGGAGGAGGAGGAGGAGGAGGAGGAGGAGGACACTGGCAGCATCCGCGGGATGCTCATGTCTTCAGGAATCAGGAATCAGGAGGAGGAGGAGAAGGAGGACGGAGGCATTGGGGAGGAGAGGGAGTGTGTCTCCGAAGGCCCAAAACATCTTCCAGATACCTGGATCCTCGATTCTCCAACCTTTCCTTCGATCCTCGGTCATCGATACTTAACCAAGGACCAAGGAGGGGGAGAACGAGGAAGAGGGCGAGGAGGAGGAAGGGGAGGATGGAAAAGAAAACAACCCAGCCATAAAGTAGGTCTCATTACTGCCCGCCGGGGCAGCGGCGCTGGCCTGCCAGAGGGCGCCAAGGAAACCCAGCGCGGAGCCGCAGATGGCGAGCTGGATGTTCCTGCTGGGGGAGAAGGAGGAGGAGGAGGGGGAGGAGGAGGAGGAGGAGCAGGAGCAGGAGGAGGAGCAGGAGGAGGAGGAGGAGGAGCGAGTTGCGAGGAGGAGGGAGAGCGAAGAGGAGAAGGAGCGTGGAGCGAGGAGCGAGGACGAAGGAAGGCAGGAGAAGTCAAGAGGGGAGGGATGGCGGGACGGATCCAGATTCACGGTGCATACAGAGCTCTTTGTTGTCTGCCGCCCGACGGCGAGACTCCTGGCACAGGAATCCCACCAGCCCTTAAGGGCGTAGGTGGTTCATCGGGGGCGCGCAAACATGGATTAGCGATCCATGGATTTGGCGCACGGTCGCCAAATCCATGGATCGGGAGAAATGCCTTCCCCAAAATGCGGCCGGTGCCGCCTCGTTCGGCGGCGGGAATCCGCGATTTCCCATGGAAACGGGACCCGTCGCTAATCCACGTCCCCTTGATCCATGTTTGCGATCGCCTGAGTTTAGGGAAGTTCGTCTTCCAACCCCCTTCTTCCCCTTCGGGGAGGGGTTTACCCCTCCCCCTTCCCCCTCCCATGGACCTAAACGGGGGGTTCCGCGAGCGGTCAGAGCATCCAAGATGGCCCAAGACGGCTCTAAGAGGGCCTCGGAGACCCCAAGATGACCTCCAAGATGGCTGAAGATAGCCCAAGATGCCTCAAGATGGCTCCCAGAATGCTTCAAGAAGCCCTAAGAACGCTCCAAGACGGTTCCAAGAGGCCTCCGAGACCTCCAAGGAGGCCCCCAAGAGGCCAAAATCCTTCCAAAACCTAGGGACAACCAATGATTTTGCCTTCTCGCCTTTTCGCTTCCGATGGCTTTCCGAGGCCTCAAGATGGCTCAAGATGGCCAAAGAGAGCACCGAGAGAGGCCCAAGAGAGCTCCAAGATGGCCCCAAGAGAGCCCAAGAGCGCTCCAAGAGGGGTCCAGGAGGCGATGTGTGGGGCTCCCGAGGGGGAACGCTAATTGAAGCTCCCTCTTCATTATCGAAGTCCTCGAAGATGGCCCCAAGAGGCGCCCACGAGGCCCCAAGAGGCCCCAAGATGGCCCCAAGATGGCCCCAAGAGGCCCCCAAGAGGCCTCCAGGAGGCCCCCAAGAGGACCCAAAGCGGCCCAAGAGGTCCCCCCAAGGCACCCAAGACGCCCCAGAGCCCCCCAGGATTGCCAAGAGACCCCCAAGACGTCCCAAGAGGCCTCCAAGAAGCGCCTAAGAGACATCCCAAGAGGCTCCGAGAGGCATCCGAGAGACCTTTGGCCCTGTTGCTTGCCCTGCTCCTCCTCCTCCTACTCCTCCTTCCTCCTCCTACTCCTTCTCTTCCTCCTCTTCCTCCTCCTCCTCCTCCTTCTCCTCCTCCTCCTCCTCCTCCTCCTCCTCCTCCTCCTCCTCCTCACCCTATTCATCCTCCTTCTCCCCACTCCCTCATCCGTCCATCTCCTCATCGCTCCTCGCACGGGTTGGCCGTCCCCCTCTTTGCTCCCGCACTTCCCAGATCACCTCAACTCGCCTGGACATCGTTCTGGATGGGCTGGTGGGGTTACGCAAAGCGTTTAGAATTAGGGAGGAAGGGGAAGGGGGGATGAGGAGGAGAGAGAAGCAGGAGGGTGGGGGAGGGTACTCCGAGAACCTTCCAACACCGAAACAATCCTCATTTCAACGTTATCACTGCAGGCCACCGGCCTACGCGAAAAGCCGGAGCCGCAGCCACTCTCGCGCCCACGCGACCCTCCCCCCATGGAGAAGAGTCGCTCTGGATCCCGAGCCAGCGAGAAGCAAAGCGACAATCATCGCGTCCTTGCGGGTGGCCTGGCAGACGAGTAGCTGACGGCTCCTCCTCCTCCTCCTCCTCCTCCTCCTCCTCCTCCTCCTCCTCCTCCTCCTCCTCCTCCTCCTCCTCCTCCTCCTCCTCCTCCTCCTCCTCCTCTTGTTCCGTAGCCATTTTGGCTCAGGCCGTGTTCCCCGCTTTCTCCGCTGCCTTTTCGCCCATGTTCGGCGGCTCGGCGGCGGCGGCGGCGGGCGCGCCCTGGATGGCTGCGGGGGGCTGCCCGCCGATGTGGCGGCCAGTGATTTGAGGATCATGGAGAAGGACTCCCTCGGCGCCTCCGCAGCGAGGCGTGCTGCTCGGCGGCGCGGTCGCGCTGCTCTGGAAGCAGCTCTGCGGCCGCTCGTGGCGGCACGCGGCGTCCTGGGCTCGTGGGTGGACCGCGAGCGCACGTCGAGGCCGGCTCTGCAGAGGATTGTTGCAGGAGATCGTGTTCCTGGCGCGATGCGGCTGAGGCGGAACGCTGCCTGGCATGCGAGCCGTGTGCCGCCTGGTGGCTTCACGGCCGCGTCCTCGGCGGATCTGTCCTGGGCTGCTGCTGGGCCTCGGCTGGGACACACTGCTGGTGGCATGCGGGCTGAGGCCATGCCGTTCGTGCCGCGGGCTGCCTGCCGCGCGGTGGGCGTGCGTTGCAACTGCGGTGCCACGGTTTGGCCGCTGTCTGGCGCCTCGCCCGTGTGGCCGCCTTCGGAGACAGCCATGGTGGCGCAGGCGTTCGCGCTGATCCAGCCCCCTGCGGCGCAGATGCCGAGCGTGACGGAGCCCGACTATTGCGAGAGCGTGGACGTGGACTTGGAGGTGGCTGCCCGTCGCGTCATCCCGAGCCGTTGCGGAACGCTGGCGCGGCTGTGGCGTGCGGCTACCCTGGAGCTCGACGTATGGGCTGAGGGTGCTCTGTCGGATGGCTCCTTCGCGGTGCAGGGGGAGGCGTGCGGAGGCGCGGTCGCCGACGAGTTCATGGACGCGCAGGTCTCGCTGGCGCCGATGGCAGGCGCGGTGCGGGGCGGAAAGGAGGGCGAGAGCGACGGCATCTCGGAGGCTGCGTCGGCCGCTGTTCGTGCCCCTGGCGGTGGGTCGGGCTTCGTGCAGGGTGCCGTGGAGCCGAAGAAGCGCCGTGGTGCTGCCTTGGCCGTCCTGGAGCAGGAAGGCCTGTCCGTCGCCTCCTTCCGCCCTTGAGTTCGCCGCGGTGCTCGTCGGCGTCTCCGTGCTCCACTGCACGGTCGGGGGCCCAGTGCTGGTCAGGTCCAGCGCAGCCTCCCGCGGAGCGCACATGTGTGCACATCCCGCCCATTCCGCCCATTCCTCCATCTCTTGTCCTTGTAAACGACTCCTCCCTGTCACACACCCCAGACGTGTCGGTAGGGCTGGCCGAGCGTTTCACCTGAGGCTTCCTCCCCATGTATGATCCTGAAATTTCAAGCTTGCAACATATTCACGGATGGAGGGCGGTCCATCGTCTATATGTGGTCCTCGCCTCAGCGCCGCGCATGTCTTTCAAGTTTGCAGCGACTTCACGGATGGAAAACGGTCAATTTTCAAATGTGGCTTTCGCCTCAACGCCGCGCACATGTATGTTCAAATGTTGCAGCAATTTCACGTGTGGAGGGCGAGCCGTTTTCAAAATGTGGCTCTAGCCTCAGCGTCGCGAACATGTGTCTTGATAAGTCACAGCAGATTCACGAATGGAGAGCGGTTCCGTTTCACAATGCGGCTCTAATGCCACGCACTGTTGTCAAAACAAATGCAGCCGCTTCAAGCATCCATATGGAAGAGGTCCCAAGAATGGGGCTCTTGCGAGTCCCGTTGATTCGCTGTCACGTTGACTCGCTGAGTTGACTCGGACGCAACAATCACGTTGACTCGCTGCGTTTGAAGTCCCAAGAACGGTGCCCTGGCTCGAGTTATGACTGCCAACACGCAAGAGGTACATTGACTCGTTGCGTTGGCGTCCCAGGAATAGTGCCTCGGCACGACTGGAGTTTCTTTGACGGTTGTCTTCCAATGGGGCCCTGTGATTAAGCAACATCTGGTAGCGGCCGATGAGGAGGCGAGGGGACTGGCGCCCCCTGCCCCGATGCTACTGGGAGCGTGCCCGCACAACCCCCGATGGGTCACCCACCCGGTGGGTGTGAAGTGTTGCTGCTGCGGAACACTCGCGGTGTTGCAAAGCTTCAGGATGCGGGAGGTCGTCGTCTTCGTCGTCGTCGTCCCCCACCCCATCCCATCTCGGAAGGGGGCGCGGGGCCCCGGGAACCCATCCTATCTTGGGGGGGAGGGGGGCCGCGGGCCTGGAGCCCTGGAATGTCGATCGACTTCACCATCTATAGATCGACCTCTGTCGTTCTCACTAGCGATCGATCTATCTCATCTCTGCCAATGGAACCCTTTCTATCCAGCGGGGCAACCATCGGGACAACCATCGGGACAACCGCCCGGAAAACCGTCTGGACAACAATCGGAACAACCATCGGGGCAACCATGGGGACAACCATCGGGACAACCGCGGAACAACCGAC